TGGTGTTTCATCATGGCTTAGTTTAATTACAACAGGAGATTTTTTTTTATCTTGTAAGTCGGTCTTTTCCTGTACGGCAGTTGTGTCAAGATGTTTGTCAACGAAATCTTGCACACGTTTGAGCGGGTCTTCAGTCTCACCAGGAAGGTCGTCTAATACTCTATGATACGGGCCTCGGCTTCTGCGGACGCATCTTCTTTTTGTGCTTCTAGAATGTTGATAGCAGCCTTAAGCTCGGTTTTTTTCTCGGACCGCACGTGCGGCCTCCTGTTCCATTTGAGTTTTCCTGCGAATGGCCTCCTGTTCTTTTTGAGCTTTGATGTGCTCCTCCTCCTGTTCAATTCTAGCTTTTAGGTGAGCAGCCTCAAGTTCCATTTGAGCTTTCAGGTGTGCAGCCTCGGCAATTTTACGTGTGGCTTCTTGTTCCGCTTCGGCTTTTCTACGTGTGGCTTCTTGTTTTGCACGGATGGCTTCTTGTTCTATTTCGGCCTTGATTTCTATTTGTCTGTACAGGGACTTTTCCTCTAATACTGCCTCCTGTTAAGGAGCGCGGCTTGTTTTTTCGGCAAATGCTATCTTATATCTAGCAGACTCTGACTTGCACACGCTTCCTCCGTACTAGGCTTGACATGTCAGAAACGTTAGAGATTCCGCTGTTTGAGGTTTTCTTACTCTTTGATGTCTTCGTTTTAGTTGACGTAGCTTTTGTCAGGGAGAGGCGATGCTCGTGTAGGGTTTCCATGACCAGGTCCACTTTGGACAGACGAATATCTAACGAAAGATTAAATGTGTCTATGGCCTTTAGACTGTCTGATGGTCTGGTCATCTTCAGAAAGTTCAGGTACTCATCTGTGAGCATGCGATAATTAGTACAGGCTTGTACAATTTTGTCCTGTGCTGTAAGCAGTTGCTTGAGCTCGTTAGGAGGCGTAGTCACTTCAAAAGACTGGAATTCTAAATCTGACCAAAGGACCTCTAGCTCCTGACAAAGCTTATCACGTTTCTCTATGTAAACCCCATGTCCTTTTTCGGTGAGTTCACGTACTCGCCTAATCTCGGGATTTTCATCTAAATGTGTGGTTTCAGACGGATTTTCTTGTAGTTCTTCACTAGCGTCACCCTCTGGGGGTGGACCTCGTCTTGCTGCTCTGCGTGACTGGGATCCATGATGGCTCAACGTTGTTGGTTTGCTGCCTAGGACACACAGGCTATGTTGCGTAGTGTCAAGGTAACAGCTTCGAACGATGCTTCGTTGTATTTCCTGGTCAGGAGATGTGTAGACAAGTTGTTGTCAATGCCGACGTCTGGTTGTAACTATAAAAATAGTTAAATTTATACTAAGACTTGATTAAACGGTTAAAATATATCACAAGCAGTTTGAAGGCATCAAATATGATATTTTAAATGTTACTCACGCTGTGGTTAGCCACAAATTGCGATCCAGAATGAATCCTGCGACAGTCCTTTGTCTAGTGATGTGACATGGCAAGGTTGATTTGCAAAAGACGGATGCGAGGCTACGACAACAATCAAATGTTGTACGGTGATGTCCAGATTTAACTTCGAAAACTATAAATTTATCGTGAATATAATTACACAAAATATATAGATAAATTAACGGACCCAAGGCAACACATGTTTATCATAGTGACTTGTAAACATGTTGCACCCGGCCCATTTACCTATAATAAGTCGCCTATTTGACAAATTTAGTAAGTTGATACGGTATCACGGACTTCATGTTAATATAAAATTTCTCAAAATTGATTTTTTTTTTTTAAATTTAGATAAAATATGAAAATAATTTAAATGTTATGGGTTAAACAAGACAAATACTTTATTAAGAGCTGGGTAGGTGGTACAATATTCCGAAAGAAGAGAGGGTATGTCATGTGTACGAATGCTATTGGTATTGAATATCATTACTTATTCGAATGCAATTCCATCTTAGTAAAAAAATCCGAAATCATCACATTCAAGAGTACTACATGTAAAATATCACAGCGCAGCAAAAATGATGATGATGATGATGATGATGATGGATGGCTGCTTAATGTCCATTGGCAAATAAAAAGGCATATTCAGGACGGGAACATGTTAATGTAATATGAATATAACCCTGCTTTGTACAAGACTGACACGCTGAGTCGGATTTTTAACGTGCTAATCAACAAGGTAACAATCCGCAGGAAGACATGTCACCTTACCCGGACACAATATTCTGACTCCGAGCCGACAATCTTTGCTCTTACTCCTTAATGCCGCGTGCGTAGAAGCAGCAAATGCCAATTTTAAAATCTTTGGTTTGACCAGGCCGGGGTTCGAACCCACGACCTCCCGCACTCGAGGTGAACACGCTACCACGAGACCACCGAGGCGGTCAGCAAAAATGAGGTACTAAACAATGTATCTTTATTCGTTTTAAAATTAATTAAAGTATTATAGAGTATGTAGTAATTATTGATATATACCATTTTAGAGTTGTTCTATTACTGTCTATGATTGTATGTGATTGTATTTTGTATATACATGTATGTTCACCACTTGTTTCACATGTGAATGTGACCGGGTGTTTTTAAATAAAGCATTATTTTATCGTATTGTATTAAAGTATCACCTAATTATTGACATATGTTCATACACATATTGATAAAATAACAATTTAATTTAAAACAACAAGACCCACTCAAAAAAGAGTTATGAGTGACTATAAAATCATTTCTACAAAACACACAATTATTTTCAATTATATAAACTACTTTTTCTTTTAATATCACATCATAGCAGATTTTGGCTATAAAATAATATACAATTTCATTAGTGAATAAAAATCTGAAATTATCATCATCGGAGAAATTAACAAAATTACAATTATAAGGTCTAGAGGTAGCATGGCCAAATAAAGTAGCACGCAAATCTGCATATACTTGGCAGGTCAGTAGAACATGTTTCTCATCTTCAATAATATAATTTTCATTACATTGATCATGAAAACACACGCCCAAACTGTATATATACACGTGCGTAATAAACTGGTCCTGGTTGAATGAACATGGTTTTTTTTCGAATTATACTCAGGTGACAATCAATTAAATGTGGCAAGTGTCGATAAAACATTAAATAACTTCGTAATTATTAAAGATATATTTGAAATTATTTGTTTTAAGAGAGTCTACTTCTATCAGAGATAAATATACTATACATGTCTCTGCTTCTATATATCATGTCATTTGTGAAAATTATATCGCATCCCATCAGGTCCCTAGTACAGAATCCTGTTCTTGGTGCACTAAGAAGGTCCTTTGCGGTATTTCTACAGACGTTAGTCACCTTTTTGATGTGTTATTTAGTCTACATATCAATGATATCTAGGATAATCGGGTAGTTTGCCAGTAGAAACATTCAAACAATCAGATGCGTAGTGTAAAATTTTTCGTAATAAAAAAAATAAAACAGAATAGAGATTAATGATTTTTCAGTTATCTTGACATAGCACTAAAATCTTTAAAATCTATCAATATAAATAAGAGTATCTTTCAAATTTTAACATTCCTTTAGTATGAATGAAAATAAATACATGTCTATGTTAATGTTTTCAATTATATATGCTATTGCAATTGTACTATTATAAAATAGCGTTCACGGATACTTGAAGTGGACTAAATTTTTCAGAGAAGAATGAAGCGGCATGATATTCAAAGCACTGTGGACAATTTGAATTTTTGAAACTCTAGGACATGACTACGGCTAACTAAGGATAATTTGCAAATCGTATATTCATGTACTGTTTTTCCGCCAGTTTTTTTTTTCTCACATCAATTCGTATTAATTGATATTAAAGTCTAGGGAAGCAAAATTGTTATGGTAATGTTTTCCCGACGTTAATACAAACAACGTACTTCAGTATTGTAATCGGGTGATAAAGGCTTTGTATAGTGAGTGATTTTGTCAGGTTTTACATAAAAATAAAGTGTATCCAAGTTTATATGTATATTTCCCATGTTTCCTTATCGGTTGTTGTCCATACCGCATGGTCCCATCGGGTTTCTCTAACCTTTTCTCTCCATTTTACAAGAACAGATAGTAGGGAAATCACCAATGCAGAACAACACAACAAGATACACCACATCACTAATCCTAATTCAAAGCAAATAAAAAAGAAATAAAGAAAAAATACTGAAAAACATTTTCACCATAAATGTATTACTCCACAACCTATCTAGTCATATAAGAATTTGGGCGAATGTCCATCTGTTTAGGCCGTATGCAGATCTTTATTGTGTTGTTGGGATACTGTCTTATTGACGTTTATCCAACATCTCTTATTCATTTTTTGTTGTTGAAAATCAGAAAAGTCAAACAGACAATATTGAATCGCATGAACAATGTACGTTCATGATCTCAAATGCAAGAGTAGAATATAAAATAAATCTACTAATGGAATAATTGCAAGTGGTTTACGAAATTAAATTACGTAAAATATCCTTATCAAATATTTTAAAATCATAGTCTCATCATCTCCTGCAAATCATTTCAATACTTTATGCTTTAAAATATTTTTCTTAAATTTATTCCTCTGTTTTTCTTTCTTGTAAACATGTGATATACTTTATAAAACATGCCTATGTAATAAATAACAAAAAAGAAAAGATGTAAATTCCTTCTGTTTCCGTTCCGTATTCCGTTTCCGCCTTTTAACAAGACCCCGTCTGAGACGTCATTAGCGTTATACAAAATATGCGCGATGCATTAATTTATCTTCACCTTTTCAAAATTGTCTAAAACATACACATAAATTATACTAAAAGTCTTGTTAACTGCGGGCCAAAAATATTTAAAAAGGCCTATATCTTTAAAACGGCATCTGACATTGCAACACAAACTACCAATCTACCAACATCTTTACTAAACTTTCAACCGATTATTGATACTTTGGTTCTCTTTTGTTAGTAATATGGTTTCGAGTGGGGGACTTTGATAAACATTTAAAGGTTACATACTATGTACGAATGATAAATCCAGCATCCGAATCAAAAACTGTTGAAGTAACATCCTTTAACATTGTGAATGTCACCAACAGACACTGTTTCTATTGAACATAATAACCCTGTGAATGAAAAAAATCATCTGTCAGTGTACATTAATATAATCAAAAATAGGCATGCAACAACAATAAATATTTTTCCTTTTAGACAAAAATTCGTGTACTACACATAATTGTCCATGAAACATTTCGGAAACGCATGAAAAAGAATGAAAAAAAGATCGTAAAAGGTAATCCACAGTACTTACAACTCGGTATTTTAAAAGCATTGACCAATGTTACGTTTAATATGATATTCAAGATGGCGTTTCACATGCATGTGCATTCGACATTTCGGGCATTTAGCTAACAACACTCTAAGTTGTTCCTTCCTAATGATGCCAATGTCGTCAGTTGCAATATGACTTGCGGGACTATATTTGTATGGGAACGATGAACAAAAGCAACCGTTTTAGGCTATCAGGACTGTGTGTTGTTCATTAATGTTTGCCTTTTGTTTGATTTGTGTTGATTTGTTCGGAGGAGTCGGCGTTGGTAGTTGGTGTGGTATGTTGTGCTGTCCAGTATTTTTGGAATTTCCTGTTATCCTTTGCAAGAAACTAAGGCTACGACTCTTTTCAGCTAAGTTGACCAAAGATGGTTTAGCTATTTTTATGTATTTTTTGTTCATTGAGCTCCTTAAGTATATTTACATCAATGGCTTTCTATCCGTTGCCTTTGGGCGACCCTGGTAACGGTACGTACGGACCATGCTCTAGACGCACCAAATTTATACGTGTTATTTCTATTTTCTAGCGCTGCAGTTGCAACTTTAAATATAACTTAACTGAACTGTGAGTACTCTCAGATCTGTATTTTTTGTTTTTTGTTGTGAGGTATGTATAAATTTTTTGGCACATCCTTTCTGTGTTTTTGTTGGATGTTTTTACTGCTTTGTATCGATTTGATGAGTAAAGCCCTTTTCAACTGATTTTAATAGTTTGTTTCTTATGTTGTGCCGTTACAATACTGTCCCAGGTTAGGGGAGGGTTGACTCCTTCAAACATGTTTAAGCCCGCCACATTCTTATGTGCCTGTCCCAAGTCAGGAGCCTGTAGTTCAGTGGTTGTCGTTGGTTCATGTCTGTCATATTTGTTTTTCATATTTTTCATGTATGTTGGGGCCTTTTATAGCTGACTATACGGTATGGGTTTTTCTCGTTGTTGAAGGCCGTACAATTGCCTATGACTGCTTACATCCACTTCATTTAAACTTTGGTGGATAGTAGTCTCATTGGTAATCATACCACATCTCTTTATTTTTATATTAAGATGGTTTTGGCATTTCATTTTAGGACTCTTGATTGATTGATTGATTCATTCTCTTTATTTCCTCCATTATACAGAAGATTTTAACACAAGTATACTAATTACAAGAAAAGAACAACATATAATTACAAACTACAATTAAAGCACCAAAAAAAACTTACATTTTACATATACATAGAAATAAGAAGATGTGGTATGAGTGCCAATGAGACAACTCTCCATCCAAGTCACAATGTGTAAAAAGTAAACAATTAGAGGTCATAGTACGGCCTTCAACACGGAGCCTTGGCTCACACCGAGCAGCAAGCTACAAAGGGCCCCAAAATGACTAGTGTAAAACAATTCAAACAGGAAAACCAACGGTCTAATCTATATAAAAAACAAGAAACGAGAAACACTTAAGAACCACATCAACAAACGACAACCACTGAAACAGGTTCCTGACCCAGAACAGGTGCAAACAAATGCAGCGGGTTTAAGCGATTAAACAGGCGCCAACCTTCACCCTAACCTGACATAGTAGTAGTAGTGTAACATTACAGCATAAAAAGACACACTATAAAATATCAATTGAAATGGCTTAACTCAATCAAAAAGACATATTAACAAAAACAAGTAAACATACACTGAACGAATAAATTTGATCAATGACACAGTGTCAAAAAGACAACTATAACCTTGGACAAAATGGCGTTAAATAAAATAACGTACACAGGTAAATTTAAATATAATAATTTAGTTGTTAGGAGTACGGAGATATTATTTAAAAAATGAATAAACTTGTTGTTCATAGTACGAGAACAGCAGTGAAAATTTATCGTCATACTAAATACTTATCAAAGGTGGTACATATTAAAAATAGTGAGACGAGATATAACACAAAATAAGTAAACATTGAATAACAGAAATGCATTACAAATTGTGTCAACAGGTCAAATTAACACAAACGTACGATTTGAGAGTACTCGCAGTTACTGAAAGCTAGTTAAAAGCCAAAAACAATTAATAATTAAAAATCATGCATCAGAGACTAAAATCAACTAAACCACATCCAAGGGATTTAGTGTTTAACGCCATGGACGGTCAAAGAAGACATGGATTGTGCAATGCCAAAACAAAAGTATCGACAGTCAGAAGGATAGTTTGACCTTATAAAAAATATGTATAATGCTATATATAGATAAAGCAATCTCTATATTGAAAATGAACGTGGATGTGTATTTATACATCCAAAAAACCATTTGAAAAGAATACAAATTTAGTTATGTTTTAATTTGTGCTACATTTGCCTGATAGCAAATACTTGTGTGTCCAAAATTAAATCTATGCTGAGATAATTCGCCTTTAAAAATTCCGTTCAGATGAAATATATGATCTGCCAAGCAGCACATCATGTTTCTCCAGTTGTCAGAGTTCACAGATTGCATAAAATATGTAATACCACCAAGTAAGGCTACGACTATATTGCCATCATCTTGCTGAAAAAACCGTACAGATTCCTGAACTGGTAAAACATCAACAATTCCGTAAAACGTTATTTCTTGCATTCAAAATTGCTATTGAGCCCAGTTTTACCATGCCTAATAGTTTATCATTCAAAAGCAAAATAGACAGCGGCAAGACGTAAAAATCTGTGAATAGATAATCTGTTTTGAATTTCGTAATAACGACAAAGTTCTGGTCGACATTGAATAGATGATATTTTCTTCTCGGATTTCAATTGATTGACTCACAATTTTGGACCATAATTTTTTACCAGGGATATACAGATCATCCATGTTACTCTCAAGAAAGGAATACATGTCATATTTAATCAGAGTGTTTATTAAGTCATATGTTATTGACCGCTTATCGGATTCGCCAAGCAACAAATGACTGAGACGTATATTAAATAATTGTTTAAGAGTTGTATTGGATTTAGCTCTAAACAACCGTCCAAGGAACAATATTTTGAATTTATCGGTGAGTCCTTGTATAGACCAGAGTTCGACAGTACTTTTACAAGAATCAGTTGGTGCCCGTTTATCTAGACCTATTATAAACATAATTGCTCAAGTATTTATAAATCACTGGCTTTGCTTTAAAATTGTTGATTCAGAGCATCCGTGTGAATGCAGATTTCTTCTTATGTTGTGCTGTATCTCCACTGTCCAAGTTAGGGTAGGATTGATCGCTTAGAAACATGTTTAAACCCGCCACAGTCTTTATGTGCCTGATCTAAGTCAGAAGCCAGTGCTTCAGTGGTTTTCGTTGGTTCACGTCTGTCATATTTGTTTTTCGTAAAATTGTATTGTATAAATTAGGCCGTCAGTTTTTTTATTTGAATTGTTTCACCTTTTTCCATGTTGGTTCCTTTTATAGCGGACTATACGGTATGGATTTTTCTCGTTGTTGAAGGCCGTACAGTAACCAATAACTGCTTGTATCTTTTTCATTTGAACTCTTGTGGATAGTTGTATCATTACCAGTTATACCACATTTCTTTTTTTAATATCAAAGCCAGAATGTGGAAAAGGCAAAGACACACTCGTATATGCAGAGCTGTATAACATAACAGAAGCGAAAATATTAGAAATAGAAAGTTTTATTACCAACAGGAAGAGTAACGTTCTAGGTAATTTCAATTCACGGAGAGATGTGTTTATATATTTATATAAAACAAAGAGCTATATTAGGTAAACGTCTTGCATGGAGAGGTGTTTAACCAAATAATATAACGTAAGGGAACCGTCATACATGGAAATCTATATAACCCAAAAGAATAACGCATGGTATCCTATAATACATTTTCAGTTGCATAACCAAAAAGACATGTGTAAGGTAATTTCCTGCATTGAAAATTTTTTATTTTGAGAGCATTATAACCAACAGGAACGTAAATAAGGTGAACTTCATACATATCTGTATAACCAAAATCTATACCTAAGTAAGGCAACCTTGATACACGTTCAGCTGTATAACCAAATAGAAGAGTTATTTAAGGTAAACTTCATTCTTGGAGATTTGTCTAGCCAAAACAAAGAGTTACGTAAGACAACAAGATGTGTTTATATATTTATATAAAACAAAGAGCTATATTAGGTAAACGTCCTGCATGGAGAGGTGTTTAACCAAATAATATAACGTAAGGGAACCGTCATACATGGAAATCTATATAACCCAAAAGAATAACGCATGGTATCCTATAATACATTTTCAGTTGCATAACCAAAAAGACATGTGTAAGGTAATTTCCTGCATTGAAAAATTTATATTTTGAGAGCATTATAACCAACAGGAACGTAAGTAAGGTGAACTTCATACATATCTGTATAACCAAAATCTATACCTAAGTAAGGCAACCTTGATACACGTTCAGCTGTATAACCAAATAGAAGAGTTATTTAAGGTAAACTTCATACATGGAGATCTGTCTAGCCAAAACAAAGAGTTACGTAAGACAACAAAAACAATAAAATACATCCGATCCATTGGGTCTATAAGTAACTTTCAAAACAAAAAAACAAAAAACAAAACTTTAAACATTAATTATTCTGATAACTTTCCTATGATTTATTTAAACATTCTATTTTTTTTATTAATATGGAAATTATTCATGGAAATTCTTTACAAAATAAATTTTCCTTGAATATCTGTTTAAATTTAATATTCCTGGCAATTCTGTTACATAATTATTCCAGGAAACTTCTCTTATATAATTATTATTCCTGGAAATTCTGTTACATATATATAATCATTATTCAAGGAACTTCTCTTATACAAAAAATCATTCCTGGAATTTCTATTACATATTATTATTCCAGGAACTTCTCTTTCATAAAAATAAATCCTGGAATTTCTATTAAATAATTATTATTCCAGGAACTTCTCTTACATAATAATTATTTCTGGCAATAATGTTGCATAACAAATATACAAATAAATAACAAAACGTCAATACGTTGGAAAAGTTCGTCGAAACAGTATTTGTGAATATTTCCCTATAATTAAAAAAAGTGATAACTTAATATTTTATATGTTTTATATAAATAAGAAGATGTGGTATGAGTGCCAATGAGACAACTACCTATCCAAGTCACAATGTGTAAAAAGTAAACAATTATACGCCAAAGTACGGCCTTCAACACGGAGCCTTGGCATACACCGAACAGCAAACTATAAAGGGCCCCAAATAATTTTGTATATCTTGAAATATCTTGTCACATATATGAATATCATTTGCAATTTCATAATTAAATTGTTTGCAATTTTGATATTCCTATGTCATTGTAACAAAAGTTCGTTGGAGCTATTATTATGGTGGAACTTTTATTCCGTCACCCCACCCCAAAAAAACCTCAGTTTTGCTTCAATAAGTTTGGTATTAATGGTTGAGTTTAGCATTCATGCATCATAATTATGTGTCCGGTGTCTAATTACACTTGGATTTCCAAATCACTAAAACCATTCAATCAGTGTGCACGTGTGTGAAAACAGAAAACCAGTTTCAGTTTTACACCGGGTATCCCGATCCGAAATCCGCAGAAGGATCCGAATCCCGAGTAGCAATAACATGTACACTTTGTTTAGTGCAATTCGTAAGTAAAATTGTCCATCGTTTGTATTTGTCATTGTGTGTACATATGTTTAAGAGTCCTGAATTGTCCTGTATTTCATCGACAAAAGGTATCTTTATGGCAAGCCGTTCTCGTCAAAACTATGTTTAAATCCTTTTTTCGAAAATATTACACACTGAGAATTAAAAAAACGACACTGAGATTTAAAACCTAAAATTACACACTGAGAAATCGAAATTACACACTGAGATTCTAAAATTACACACTGAGATTTAAAAAAATGAAAAAACACACACTGAGAAGAAATAAATTGAAAACACTCACTGAGAATTGTTAATTAATTACACACTGAGATTTCAAAAATACACACTGAGATTAATATGCACATTACTAATGAATATTCATGAGATGAATAATTCAACAAACTAATATCTTGGTCTTCCTAACTCTCGTCATTATAAAGAAATGCGGTTCCTTCAACCAACATTCGTAATAAATTTCAAGACTTTGGTTGTTTTTTGCTAACTCATGTTCATAAGTTTGTTGCCTATAATTCATATTATTAATAACAGTGTATCGGGATATTTTGCTTAAAACTGTTTAAGCATGGGTCCATTTTCAAAAGTCTTTCAACTGTTACCCTGATTTCGCAAGGTAATCTTTTGTATTTTTGTTACCTTTATATGCTATAATAGGCACTTGGGTAAAAATTTCACTGCATTGTTTGTCTTTTTGCAGATTGTTCCAATGTTTTCTTATAATTCTAATAAAGATTTTCACCATTTGGTTATATTTTGTAATGAGAGTTAGTGGGTATTTTTCTTATTCTATTGGTCTTTATTAACGTAGTTTTTCTATACGTTGTATTTCTAATGTTTTTTTTATAAAACTTTTGGCGCCAAATTGAAGGACTAACGAGTTCTGTCCCCTTGTTGTTTTAAGATTGTAATAGATTCAGATTAAGTATGCTTATTAGATATGTGCGCATAAAAAGTGCGCTCAAATCTCAGTGTGTAATTTTAAATTCTTAGTGTGTGTTTTTCAGTTTATTTCATCTCAGTGTGTCTTTTTGAAATCTCAGTGTGTAATTTTCAATTCTCAGTGTGTGTTTTACATTTTTTGTAATCTCAGTGCGTCTTTATGAAATCTCAGTGTGTAATTTTTAATTCTCAATGTGTGTTTTTAGGGTTTTTTTTTATCTCAGTGTGTGTTTTTTTAATTCTTAGTTTGTAAATTTTTCGAAAAATGGTTTAAACATAGTTTTGACGAGAACGGCTTGCCCTATTTCTTAGACTGCGAATTGCAATAAATATGGCTGACAGCCATATAGGTACAGTCGACTCTAGAAATGTGAAATTCGTATTTTTCAATACAAGCTTCGAGTTCAGTAAGGCCAAGGTTTTTTTAATTTGTTGGTTTACGGATTTTTTCATGTCAAAAAGTCGGGTCGGTCGGTTGGTCGCGAAAAAAATAAATATCTTACAAGACATACATTTGTCAATAAATAAACATTTATTTCTGAATTAGCTTACTAACAAAATTTTTTGGTATGCCTTTTGTCATCATTTCTTAAATTTTGGTTCCAAACATTATTCCTCAGCTGTTTTAAGCATACAGTTCCTGCCATCGTCATTAAAGTTTGAAAAAGGGGGTATATATGTCCATAGACAAACCGGAAATAAATGGCCATTTCAGGACCGAAAAAAACAGCTACAAGTTGCTTTTTATCCACTTTCAGGAAACATGGCGAATAATGAGCTTCAAGTAGGAAAACACTTCAAATAATAATTACAAACACGTCGCACGAAAACAACACTTTACCATCCGTTCTCAATTGCAAACGAAGCAGACCCGTCCAACTGAAGATGAGGATATCGGTTTCATGCTTGAGCAGACCACGGTGCGTTTGATTGTCTTTTTTTAAGGACACAAACACTACCGGTTTTATTTTTTTAAAACTGTGTAATTATTTAACATTCTAAAATAATAATGCATTTAATTTCAGGTAAATGCTAATACGCAGATATTTATATTTGTAATTCAGGGATAATGTATTTGTTATGATCGGCGGGAATAAAAAAGTGAAATGTCAAATTTTTTTTTTCTTTCTGAAAATCGGAAAATTAGGGTCGGCGGATCCGTAAACCAACAAATTAAAAAAACTCTGGCCTAAAGGCTATTTGCATTAATTTTTTGTGAATTCAAACGCGGAGTTCACTCTTACGTAGGGGTTTTATTGGACATTTGTGGAGTAATATTCGTTTGGAAAAATTAACCCTCAAAGTATGAATAAACTTAAGATTTAAAATGCTTACCCTCTTTTGCGGTCTCGTGTAAATGCTCCTCGGGATTCGGATACGGGTAAACATACAATAAACGAATAAGTTTGATCTATGACAAAATATAGATACAATATTGATAAAAAAGATGTAGGAACAATGCCAAAAAGACAACTCTTAGACTAACCTGGGACAAAATGGCGTTAAATAAAATAACGTACACAGAAAAATTTAAATATAATAATTTTGTTGTTAGGATTATGGAAACATTTCTTTACCAAATAAATAAATTTGTTGTTCACAGTACGAGTACAGAAGTGAAAATTTATCGTCTTACTAAATACTTATCAAAGGTGGTACATATCACCATAAATAGTGAGATGAGATATAACACAAAATAAGTAAACATTGAATAACAGAAATGCATTACAAATTGTGTCAACAGGTCAAATTAATAAGAAAGTGCGATTTGAGAGTACTCACAGTTACTGAAAGCTAGTTAAAAGCCAAAAACAATAATTAATAAAAAATCATGCACCAGAGACTAAAATCAATTAAAACACATCCCAGGGATTTAGTGTTTTAACGCCATGGACAGTAAAAGAAGACATGGATTGTGCAATGCCAAAATAAATGTATTGACAGGCAGTAGGATAGTTAGGATTAAACCTCAGTAGGATAGTTAGGATTTAACCTTATAATAAATATGTAACATGTTATATATATATATATATATATATATAGATATAGATATAGATAAAGCAATATCTAAATAGAAAATAAACGTGGATGTGTATTTATACATCCCAAAAACCATTCGAAAAGAATACAAATTTAGTTATGTTTTAATTTGTTGATGACAAAATCGATGTTAGTGCCAATGTAAACAATATTCAAAGATCTTATTACAACATTAATGAGATAACTTTTTTTTTACTAATAAGTTTGTTTAAAGGTTCGATGAGTTTACACGGATCACATAGTGATTTCCGCGCTTTTAGTGCAATATTACCGTAAAATTTACGATGTGAAATACCGTTTTAATAAGTTTTCTACAGGTACAGCCAAATTTACTAATCAAATCTTTGTATCTATGAAAACATTTAGTAAATGTTTTAAGTAATTTATGGTAACGAAATCCCTGACTTAATAATTTACCAGTGATGCATTGATTACGTTCGTTAAAATCTATGACATCACTACACACACGGGCATAACGAACCAGTTGGGATATATAAACACCGTATGATGGCGCCAAAGGAACATCGCCGTCTTAAAAAGGAAAATTAACAATAGGGAATGAAAAATCGTCTCTTTTGTCGTAAATTTTAGAATGGAGTTTCCCTTTAGAAATTGAAATGTCTAAATCTAGAAAAGGACAACTACTGCTGTGTATGTTAGATTTATTTAAAGTAAATTCCTTTTGGGTAAATTTCGGTAGTATGGTTAGATTCATGTTTAGATTCAGCATATCAAAGAATCCCAATAATTCAATTTTTGATGAAATCCACAGTTTTTGGACCCTTTGCACCTCAATGTGGACCAATCTAAGAACGGGGCCACAATCCAAAATCTAAATACACAGTATATTAAAGAATTCAAAACTTTAAATCAAACCTCATTGAAATTGGTCAAGAAATAAGCAATTCATATAAACTATTAGAAAAGTTTTGTTTTTTCCCTTATTCCTAAACTGTTAGGACCATAACCCCCAAAATCAATCCCAACCTTTCCTTTTTTGGTATGGAACCTTGTGGTACAATTTCAGCCAGAAGGTAATTATTACTTTAAAAATTCAGATAATTTAAAAAAATTTAAACCATGTACTGGTAATATTTTCGACTGTTTAAATACACCTGCTACAAGTGAATCACTTACAGTAAAAACTTATTATACAAAATCTTTTGAGCCTCTGGACTGTTCCACGAACAATGTCGTTTACGGAATTAAATGTACTTTGTGTGGACTACTATATGATGGTGAAATTCGACAAAATTTGCGTAAAAGGATGAATCAACAGTGGTCTGATAATAAAGATCCGCAAATCAGGGTACTTCATAACCATTTTAATCAGCCGGACCATGATCCCTCTTTATCTATGAAAGTACGCATCATCGGGAAAATTTATCACCACACCAATATCCCTATACTAAGTACTCCTTTTTGAAAAGATAGAGAAAATTTCTGGATAAGGGAACTTGGTACTGCAATGTCATATGGTTGCAATGATAACATCAAAGGAGTAGGAAATTTGTCAAGTCCAGCCTGCAGTGATGCAATTGTAATGAGCTTATTTAATACTACTGTAAGACACCAGGGTAGTCATGGGCAAAAACATAACCATCAGCCCAATGTAAAACAGTCTTCCAAATCTAGATCACCTTCTTTCACATCTTCATCATCCGCTAGGGCTACATTACATTAGAACTATTCCTTTTTCACTGCCTGTTAATTTCTAAAATGTTTGAGAGATTATGCACTTGACAAGGGATGCATAAATACATTTTCTCCAATATACTGGTCAGTATAATTTGTGATGTAGCTCTTTTCCGCCTTTTTAAACCAGTAAGATCGGAACCTTTACATGATGAAAAGAGGAAATTCTTTCCAGTTCAGTTTTCTAATAAAAGAATTGATGCAATCAACATCAGCAACGGTCTTCATCACAAGAAGGTAACATCTAAAATTCCACTTTATTTTCAAAATCAGTCTGTTCCTATTGTATCCTACAGTTACACCTAAACCATTGCACCTAAAGTATTTAATCATAAGCAAGCATTTCAGGACCTTCATTTAGAAGAATACCTTAAAAACCCTCTGACATGTGACTGTTCCCATTCGCCTTATATTTACGGCTCCTCTGGTCATGTTAATACTGGGGATCTAAACATAATTCAACATGAACATCTCCGAAAGGTGATATCTCATGGTCCTTATAAGTTCAGAGAACCCCAACACATCAATTGGAACCATAACTTCAAAATAATTATGGATTCCATGGAGGACTACGCCAAAGCATAGGCTAAACGAGAAGTTGAACTGGACACTTTGTCAGAATGGGTCAAAACAATCAGGTTTCTGGTAAAACGTCGAATTCATAAGTTGAAAAACTGTGTGAATGATCGTCAAAGTTCGTTTTCAGAGACAAAGAAGCTGTGAAATGTCTATCATCTCTTCACGATAAAATATGTTGTTGTTCCTGCGGACAAAGCTTCATACAATATTGTCTTTGTATGTAAATCGTACTACTACGAGTGTCTTGTAAAAGAATTAGGAATAAATGAGCACTCAGGTAATCCCACATACAAAAAACATATCATTTGACAAAGATGAGATTTTGGCGAATCATAAGTCCTTCATAGCTTCAATGAAGGTTACATTGAACAGCAAATCTGAGGACTTAACTTGTTTGTATTGAATACCTAAGCTTCACAAAATTCCGTACAAACAACGGTACATTGCCGGTTCAACTGCATGTTCTACACAGAAATTGTCCATTAGATTGACAAAAATTATGTCCGCAGTGAAAGGGGTCTTCAGAAATACTGTGAAACTGCTTACTCGCGTAGTGGTATTAACCATATATGGATTATGAAAAAACTCTAAAGAACTTCTGGATAATTTTAAATCTCGATATTTCTCTGAAATTAATTCTATAAAAAATTTTGATTTTTCAACCCTGTATACCACCATTCCCCATGTGAAATTGAAAAATCGTCTAACAGAAATAATCCACAATGCTTTTCAATATGAGAATGGTAGTAAACGCTATAAATTTATTACTTTAGGATACTACACTGCATATTTTGTTAATAGTGAACAAAACGGTAAAACATGCTACACAGAGGAACAAGTTATCAGTATGCTGGAGTTTCTTATTGACAACATATTGGAGGTAGACCTTTTCAACAAATTGACGGTATTCCTATGGGAACGAACTATGCGCCTCTCCTTGTCGACCTCTTCCTTTTTTTCTTATGAGTCGGAGCTCCTTCATACACTTGTCAATAACAAGAAGATCCAAGAAGCCAGATCATTTAATTTCACATTCAGATATATTGATGATGTTCTTTCCATTAACAATCCAAACTTTTCTATCCTCCAGAACTAGAAATTTAAGAAACAACAGACACGGCTTCCTCTACCCCATTTTTAGACTTATACTTCGAATTTGACATAAGCGGTCATCTCAGTACCAGAATCTATGACAAACGAGATGATTTTATCAAAATTATTAATTTCCCTCACCTTAGTAGCAATATACCAACTTTACCTGCATATGGGATATACATTTCCCAACTCATTTGGTATTCAAGAGCTCGCAGCTGCTACTCAGACTTCATAAAACGTCACCAGTGTCTGAGCAGAAAGTTGATGAACCAGGGTTATGTCAAAGAACGTCTCGTCCTTTTAGCTGAAAAAGGTTATCGGAAGATACCAAGACCTTGTTGATAAATATTCCATACCAACTTTACAAATAATACATGATGGACTTGAAGTATAGATTCTAGGTACTGACGTTGTTTATCATCTTAATTACGTGTTATAGTGTTCTTTTATTTGTCTTTGTAAATTATTAATCTTTACTGTTTATATAAAAAAAAAATTGGGATTCCCGACTAGTAAAATCTCCGCCTACTGAATGCCTGGTTAAAATGCTCACGCTGGTACTGAAGATCAACAACTTCACCTCTGATGGAGATCATTATCTACAAGTTAATGGAACAGCTATGGGTACCAAAATGGCTCCATCATATGCTAACATATTTATGGGCAAATTAGAAAAACAACTTATTGAATCTTCGATCAAAAAACCGCTTTCCTAGTATAGATTTATTGATGATGTGTATATGAAATGGAAAAAAGCGACGAGGATTTAGATACATTCATCACTCATCCTAACAACATACATCAAAGTATCAAATTTATTCATGAGAAATCTAAATCCAAAGTCACCTTCCTCGATACTTCCAGTTCCCCAACAGATAGCATGATATCAACAGACCTATATTCTAAGCCTACTGATACTCACCAATACCTGTTTCCAAAAAGTTGCCATGCTGCTCACTGTACTAAGA